TAGTGGGTGTAACGCTAGCACATGTCGACATGTTTACTGATATGACGCCTGCCACTGGGCGAATACATTGGCAAATTTCTGTCGCCCGCCAGTGGGTTGTTATAACACTGGCCATGGCTTATAGATGAGACTACTGATGAGATTTATTCTGCATGAACGGTTTGTCATGAAACACTGTTATTGAACTGAATCTGATTTTGCATTGACGGTTTTGTCATTGAACGTTTTGCTATTGAACCGAATTTGATTTCCGCATTAACGGTTTATCAATGAAAGTTCTGTTATACTTACATGGTTTATCTGGCATACTTAAAAGTTTTACCCAAGGGCTATCCATATTTACTTACTGAGTTATCTTATAGTTTTCCTTGTCCACCATTTCAGGAAACGAAATTGAGGACGGGGAAACCAAGGGGAGTGACGAGTTAGAAGGCTAGCCACCTGTAATTTGAATATGGATCTTAGATATAAATGGTGACCTTGAAGTTAGAGTAAATTTTAAAGATTTGATCTTCAGATTTTTGTGGTATCAGATGTGAATTGGATAAGTTCTGAGCTTTGTGCACTTGTGGGACCCGTCTCACGAGTGCACGGCATCTGTCGCGCCTCGGATTTGGGTTCTAAGGCGTGACACACCTCCATTCACTAGCCCATGGCTCTGGAATGCCTTTATTTAATTGTCTCACATTTAATGCTGATTGGAAAAACTAAGATGAATGGTTATGGGGCGGTTTGGCAAAACTTAAAAATATACTTTTAAGGAAAACTTTCTTTTACAAATTTGAAAATTTATTAAAGAGGAATTAAAAAAAAAAAACTTAGTTTTTTATAAGTAGAAGGCCAAGAAAAAAAAAGTTTTGTAAATAAAATTTGGGAAAACTACATATTATAATAATTTGCTTCAAAGTGATTGATCTGTAATTTGCTTGACTTTCAACAAAATCACGTGAGAAATGAGAAATGAGAAATTATAACCATGGAAAACGATCTGATTAGTTTAAGTGATTTCTATGATGATTTTAAAATTAGATTTAAAATAAATTTTTTAGAACGGAGTAATAATAATATATAATAGTAAAATATATAAAAAAATTAAAAAATCAAAGTTTTTAATTTTTTTTACAAAAAAGTTGATTAATAAATGTTAATATCGGTTGCTGTTAAAGGTGATTCGAGCCTGAAAACGGATGCAATCCACATGTTCTCAATAAACAGCATGCCATCACTGAAGGTCACTATTGAACCACACGAGGAATTATAAAAAAATTAAAAATTTTAATTAATCAATTTAACTAACGAATTACGTCAGTTGAAATAGACCTGATTATGAAAATGGGTCAGTCATCAAGTCAAA